AATTTCTTTGATGGCGGTTTCAACCTGGGCCAGAACAGGACCTTCGGCATAGATGCGAATGATGTCTTCGGTTCCTGAAGCTCTTAAGTGGATGCGGAGGTCGCCGTACTTTTGCTTGATGCTTTCGAGAAGGACATCAGTAAGTAACTCTTTGTTGCCTGTTAGTCCGATCAGAACATTTGGAAGGTCTTTGTAAAGACTGAGAAGGATAGTAGGCAAAATGAACTGGCTATAGAAAATGCTTTCGGCTAAACACATATTTACAATGGCGTCTCCAATAAAGGGGTCAAATAAGGAGCCTAGGCTGTGGAGTAGGAGGTAAGCTTCGTTTTTGGATAGTAGTTGGAAGGTTTCATTGTATGGTGATGTTTTGTCGGGATTGTGTCCTGATAGTTCGGGAGTGGTTTGGGAAAGAAGTGCTTCGATTTCGTTAGCTAAGTCTGTCTCAGAAAGGTCAAGAATGTTGGTGCTTTTTCTGTATCTGATCTTGTTTTGGAAGTACTTTTTGGTTTCGTTTGAGAAAAAGATAGTGCCATGGCCGTTACTTTCAAACCAAACCGAGATTGGGTGCTTACAGGCCTCTTTCTGCATGTTTTTGACCCCAGTAGCAGCTATCTTTAAATCGCCTTGGGATTTTAACTCTTCCATAGCTGCACCATTGGAGTAATCTGTTACAACTGAAGTTAGAACTAAAGTCTCTTGTGTAATAGCTAGTAAGTGGTTGAGAAACGATGAAAAGAGTACGCACAATCTGTCGCCGTCTAAAATCTCATTCGTATCTGGTCTTAAATAAACTATTCGATCGGCATCGCCATCAAAAGCACAGATGAGAGTTTTGCCTGAAACCAGACCGTCGCTGGTTTTGATTTCAACTTCAGCTTCCTTACTTAAAACCCCGGCTGGCCGTTCATGCTTACTTTTAATGTAATCCGATCCACACTCTTCGTTTAAGTCTTTATCATTCTCCAGTAGTAACAAGTCAGTTGTGCGACGCAAAGCCGCCTTAATCGCCTTAAACTTCTCGCGGCCAACTCCATTAGCACTATCTAGCACCCGCTGGATTCGTCCTTCTTTGCCAAATATATGCTCGATAATCTGGGCAAACCGCTCAACACGTGTGAAGTACAAGTTTCGGATCCGGTCTAACTCCTCGCCCTTAGGATAACTCCGATTATCCAAACCTTGTCCGTGTAATTCTCTGAGCAGAAAGTGAACTTCCGGAGTTGTGCACACGCCTAAATCAAGCAGAACCTGCTCCCCCAGTCCTTCTTCAGCCTGTAGTGCCCGGCTGGCCGCCAAACACTTCTCAACCATACTTACTCCACTCTCTCGTGTATCCCTGGCAATATAAACCACACTACCTACCAATGGATACTTCTTGATCTCCTCCAAGAGTTCATCGTTCGTGGCATTCACTACCCGATTACTTATCTGTTCCCATTCTACGGCAAACATATTCCCATCATAATCAACATACTTAATTCCATTATCCTTAGCCGGATTGTGCGATGCCGTCAACATCAGACCTATCGGCCTCCCTACAGACGCCGAGCGCATAGCACAAACTAAATAAGCCCTAGTCACAATATCAGCAACCTTTTCCCAATCACCCCTATACCCAGCAGTCCCATACCCTATCTTTTCCTGATCTTGGCGCCAAAAGACTTTCATACATCCTTATCTCCTTTATTTTTTATATACACTACATGTCTGAAACAATTAAGATCTATCCAGTCTATTTCAATACCCGAGTGGCCCGTTCTGATGGTAGAAAAGTTCCATACATTGAAAACGGAGTTGTTCCAACTTTGCAGCAGATTGCTAAAGCACTCACCCAATTAGAACTCAAGTATACCACTGAAACTAAAACACATCCCAAACAGAATATTACCCTTTCGGGTAAGTTTCTGCCTAAGGATGCTAAAATAGAAGAAATTGAGAGACACCACCAAGCAGTTTGTGGCAGTTTACTAGTTGTATGTCCCAAATCAGCCGACTTACCTACCAAGCGCAGTATTATCAAGCAAGTCCATGCAATTCTCAACAAATAGATAAGCCTGCTCAGTTAACATATTCGATGCTTTATTTAGTCTTCGGATTAATATTGATTTAATAAACAGTATGACTTAATCTAATCTAAATTTAGCGGAATTCAAATTCAAATTCAAAGTAGATTTAAGCCTAAACCCACAAAATATTTAGTATTTGGAAGTATGGCTGAGATATCGAGTTTTGAAGATTTAGGTGGATCCTTACGTAGTTCATCCAGTAGCTCTTTTTTCTACATTGGGCCATTGATTGCTTGTTTGTATCTAGTTGGTAAGTTTATGGTTCATTTAATGGACTCTCCGCCAATGGTGTATCCTAAAGCTAGCAGTC